GCTTCGCCTTATCCATAGACAAAGTATTGCGATTGTAAAACGCGTTGCGGACACGATATCCGCTCGTTATACTAATCTATTATACAAACAGAGTGATACCGGTCATATTCAAGTACAAATTTGTGGGTGGGACTTCTGAAATTACCGTATTATGAAAACAGTAAAAAAAATATTTTGTAGCTATATTTACTCACTGTTATGCGCCCTGACGTATGTATTTATATTATTATTATTATATGTATGTATATATTTAAATTTACTCGTATAGTATGAAGGTATCCGCAGAAAATCAGCGTCGTAGCACCTCGTCACGGCTCATGTTGAGCGTTATACATACATTATCGTCATCATCATAACAACTGATTATCATATTCCAGTAGGTATAATATAGCCTGCCATACACAATCCTCCTCCGATGAACGAATTTCTGTTTTAATCTCCTATGAAATTATTATTAGTCAAAATTATTTTCATATGTTGTAGTTATTCGAAATACAATATCAAACTAACGTCAAAATTTATCATTTTGGTCACACTTTATTGATTTACCATCATCGACATTAAATGGTAATGAAGAATAGTACTCTATTAAAAGCTGTCACGACAAAGAGGGGTGTTCATATTCTGCGAAATCTTTTTAAAATATGTATAGATATAATCCATCTAGATATGTCAGTAACAAAAAAACGATATGTCATTTTATTTCTCATTAACTGCAATGCAACCCTGTAGATTGTATAAACTAATTTGGGGGTATGTTATGTACGAATCATTAACCTGTATAATTGTTGATAATTCGTATATCAATTACACACACCATTAATATTTTGTCGCAGTCCTATAGCTCGAAACATAATAGACGATTTTCATTGCTATACTCATAGAACATCTTGAAATATTATTTAAATTAAATGTTTGTTCTAAACAAAATACAGTTCAATTTCATTTGGAGTTTACATGTTGATAAACCATGTCAAACAGCCAAGTGAAAAAAAAAAATATAAACACATTCTCTATGACATAAATCATAAAGCTCTTTTTCCCGCCAAAAATAATTTAATAACTGCATTCATAGAGTCACGTGCATACATAATCGATTATTGCCACCGGACGCATCTGCCGTTGAAAATTTAAATAATTACAAGTTTTAAAAAACAAAACAAACACGGTTGAGTCGAGCCAGCCATTAAGTTCGCTCGTGCCGTGATGCCCCGTTATCTGTTACAAAAATGGACAGTTCGCGTAAATTACCTCTTAACATGTTATTAATGCTACACCTACACGGGCTATAAATGACCTCATACTTAAAATTTGGTGCTTATTTTAACCAGATGGCAATAATAATTACTCTATTATTTTTAGGGTCCTTGTTAAAAAATATTTTTCGTGTACCAGTACGTAACATTATATGTATTCGATTGTTCAGATTCATTCGATTTTTTCTAGACACTAATTTAGATAAGATTAGTCTTAGCAATATAGATATACAGTCCACAATGTAGACTTTATCAGAAGTCTGATCTGCGTGGCTGCATTGAGTGAGTTGGAGGTACCGTCACCCATTTCAGACGCCAAGTGACATGTGTTTGGGTTGAATGGCATTGAAGAGCATGAGTTGCAGAGCATGAGCTCTGTTTTCTGTAATTAACTAAGATGTCATCATCTTAGTTCTCCGAAATAGCATCGCAAGAGCAAACGCACGGGTTTCAGATGACAACATAATATTCGTGGTGCTGTTCATGTAGGTACATAGTCTTTTAGTTGCCACTTAGGACCATCAACTTGTTTGACTCACAATTTACTTAAAATAGTACCTACATAATATTGTACACATATGCTAAGTGCTTAATAGGTATATTCCATTTCATGAGTGTTAACATGTTACATAAGTATCTTAGCATGGATATGTTCCTGAATAATCCAAGATGGACCTTGTGTAGACTTTTGTGTCACTTATTTCAGTTTTAAAGCAATTATGCTATAGCAAATAACTATGCTTGTGTTGTATCAAATTCTTTGTTATTGAAAATTATATTCGTTTATACTCAATAATCGTAATGTTTGACCGCTTGCAACTGATACCTAGAGCAGCGTTACTTTGGATAAATTATTTTATCCAATTCAAAAAACCTTCGATTCTATAACATTACCTATATATTATAGAATCAAAGGTTTTTTTAATGTATTTGATATTTATGGTATTATCAAATATCAATTATTTGTATTTGTATTAATTTTAATAGATTGAATTAAATTCGAACCTAGAATACTATTCCAAAATTGTGTCTGCAACTTAATAACACTGTATATTTTTTATTAATTATAGATAGTTTTCAGTAACAACATTTTTTCAAAACCTAGGTATGTTTACTTTGGTTTGAAGTGTAATACATATATTACTAAGGTACAAGAGACTCCAAATAATGTCATAGTATACGCTGTTTGTCCACGTTTCTCCAATCTAATATGTAACGGTTATGACATTTATCAGACAGTCAGCTTATTTGCCACTCCCAGTGGTATAAAAATAAACACAGCAATCACACATAACAGTTCAGTTAAACTACGAAAAGATTGTATTCAATAAAAAAAGCGCGTGCGGCGTTCAAATTCCATTTCGATAATTAAACGACAGTTGATAACGACAAAACGTCGGAAATCTACAACACGCGCAAACTCGCGCGACAGTCGGAGCGTGGCAACACTTGGAGGCCCGCGACCGCCCCACAATAACATTCCAATTTTAATTAAATTAACATTCTCATCCGCACTAACTTAATCTAATAATTCGATAGATGTCGCTGTAACATTTTCATCAGCACATCAATTTTAACTTTTAATACTCGGCATCAAAGTTCAATATCCCCCAAATTGTCGCAAACCGAATGACGTAATTAGCGTACGACATAAACTTTTTCATTGTACGCCTTAAGCTTCTGATAATAAGATCTGTTTCAATTTGTTTGATTCGATAGCGTGCAATTCCGTGAACGCATGCTAGTAATTAGAGGATTGTCGTGATAAACCAATGTAATCTCTATTACTTAGCGATAAAATCCAAATTGGTTTATGGTAATAGCCGCACGTTCGTGATGCGACGTCGTTTGCACTATAAAGTAGTGTTTTGTAAGTTTTTTTACGACGAGTAATAATCGAATTAATATCGCGAATCACTTAATTAAATAGATAACTTCATAAGAGGGCCATTTAGGGCGATTATTGAAATTAAATGGATGATCGATAGTATTTTCAATGAGAACAGTCTAATTACGACTTGTACATTTTGGAATGACAGTGTATGGGCGTATTTGTAGGATGAATGCAATTATGTATCCTGGCATATTATCAATGTGCAAGTTATTATAATAATATGTTGAAATGGAGCGGACCTTCTCCAAAAATTAACACCGGCACTTCAACTCAATCAAGGTAAGCTATAATACTGGCCATTTCCAAATTAACACAGACAAATTTTTCATTTTGTATCTACATCATTGTGCTCCTGTGATATGATACGCACGTGCTTTGCTTGTCAGTGATTGTCAACACTAACCCATGATGGCGAAGAAGAAGAAAGAAGAGGAAAATATGAAAAAAGAGATTTCTGCAATAACTTATATGTATATTGGTGACTGGCCCACAAGTCGTAGAAAAGGAGAAGGGATAATTAGTAATGCGGTGTAAGGGTCCTATTGCACCCTATCAGTTTATTTTCCATGCGGTCACGCTAACTGACCTGATATATCCTGAGCTGGTACTCCATGAACGTGCCTATACCGTTAGCGTAGTAAATACAGCATTCCTGGAACTCCAGCACGAAAAGATAAGGCTAAAAGGGATAAACTGTATACATCAACCCTTCCATAGTGCATGAAGTCAGTACGGTATTCCCGAAAAGCGCGTCTCTCACAAAGCCTTACCTAAAACCCGAAATTAAATAAAGACTACACAGACATTTTACCCATTTAAAAGAAAGATCATAATTGCACAAATCATTTTGCAACAGTTAACTAAGAGATATCTCTTAATTAACTGTTACAAAATTAAGATCATTAGTAAAAAAAATTAAGATCATTAATTATTCTATCTAACCATATCGTCCATCCATTCGTTTTTTTAATATAAATGACGTTCCGCTTGATTTTATCCCATCAGGTGGAAATTTATGACAAGACCTAAGATGTAGCTGTTTATGTATCTATCATTAATTACAAAATAAAATCTTAATCTTATTAATATCATAATGCGAAAGTTTGTAAGTATGGATGTTTGTTAATCTTTCACACAAAAACTACCGAACGGATTTTGATAAAACTTTACAGTAATCAGCATCAGTGTAACACATAGGCAACATTTTTTATTGAAACTTATGTATTAAAATTTAACGCGGGTGAAACCGCGGGTACTATTAGTATTATAACAGAAAAATTATTAAATACTGTGGACAACATACAACAAAAGTTAATTTTTCCGATACTTAAAAGGTATAAATTCTTAAAGCCATCACCGGAAATGAGCTCATGTAAACTACCCTCACCGGAAACCGAGTATATCCGGACGCGGTATCCGTGTGAGGTTTGTGTCGGCGCCTAGCGCGTGCCAACGTTTAACTACCCTTCTTTTTGGTACGATAAACATCATAAACGTTCTGTTAGCATTTCGCATGTAATGACCTTTTTTATTTTAATACACGTCATTGGTAGTTAATTAACTAATACTGTTGCAATAATGTGCTATTCATTTATTTATACACACACACACACACAAACACATACACACACATGCATATGCATTGACAACTATCAATTACCATCAAGCGGGTCACCAACTTGTTTGCAATTTCAATCCTAATAAAAATGGTATAATGAAAGTACATTCCCTTTTATTATATCCAAATTGTAAAGACTAGGGAGTAATAAAAAGATTTAGTACTGCGAATTTTGTTTTATTCCTCGCCGTATGTCAGCGTATATAATAATTAAGTACAATGCAATGACGAGAACTTCAACTAGGTACTATCAATAAATAACATTAATATTTTAGAATTAAGCATTATTCAATTATTTAGGCTAGCAATATTACAGAATTACATTAAAGCAACATGGCAACACATTTTAAATATTTTATTAGCAGATTAGGTGTGAAATAAAATTAAGGCTGTAGGTAGATACACTACTTTGTAACAAAGTATTAGAATATGACATTTCATAAAAATATACTTACACTTTATGATGTAACTTCAATTCAATGTACACACAATATAATCAACAGTAAATTAATACGGAAAAGGAAAAACAAACGGCAGCAAATAAATCTTCGAGTATCAATTAAATGGACAAGTACATTTATTTTACAAACATATTTGATGCCTTTCGTTTACTATCTATATACAAGATTTCTTCTTAAACACATCCGACATTTTACAGAAGTTAAATGCTTCGTTAGAATGACAAGGTATATAGCTAATATCTAAGCACTTTTATATTGTAGAAATTAAAGTAGAGGAAGAAGGCAAATCGAGACCAAGTTAGTAAAAAGTTTACTTGAAATCCGCTATTGAACACAAAAATAAACCTTGAATTCTATATTTTCTGAAACTGGTGTTTTTTAGAAAATGGAAGTAGGTATATATGAAGTCATGTAATCAAAATGAAATGAGAGTATTTTGGAAATTTATAAAACTACATGGCTTAATACAATCTCTTGGAAAAGTTATTGTAGTTATAGCTGAAGTTTGTCATTGTGCTTATGTATGAGAAGATTATTTATTCTTTCACATTTAGCAAAACATATTTTCATGAGAAGCATAATATTCAGTTCTTTAATCTCTATTTTATTTACAATATTAACTAGCGCTTATTGCAGAATAAATACAATGAAACTTTATTAAAACATTCTTATATACATTTTATTTACAACTTGAATGTCAATTTTGTACGTTACATTTATTTGAATCTTCATAACTATCATCTAGCCAAGTAAATAAATAGTTTACTAAGTAAGTTTATTTACTAATTACTTATACCAGGCTTTTACCTATACAAAATTACCTAATAACTTTTGAACGATTTGGCTTTGATATTCATAATATGACTAGTCCTTAATTAAACGTTCATAAATCACGGTCTGTTGCTACTGGCCTCAGTTCGAGCTCACTCCAAGCGCTTTTCAGGCTAATAAGCGCTATATTTATTATAACTGAATGAATTCATTATTATAATTACACTGGACCAGAAACTTAATTCATTAACCACTTAGTATTCAAAACATTTGTCCGTCCGCGCTATCAGTCTTGCGTACGGAATCAAGTGAACACTACACTAGACTGGACAGTGGCGCCCTAGAGGTAACCGGTGAAGCCGGGAGCGGTTGAAGCTGCTGCGGCGCCTGAGGAGGGAAGTATACGCCGGGCTCATTTGTAAATTGAGGATGAAGCGGTAACGGTGTGTGTGGAATCGACGTCGGTCTCGATTCATGGTACAGGATCGGTACTCGGACTAACCGTTGAGCTGCATGTGCCATGTTGGCAGCCTCTAACTCCGCTGCTAGCTGTCTCTTCCATTTATTGCGTCGGTTCTGAAACCAGATTTTGACTTGCGTTTCCGTCAAATGAAGACTGGCCGCTAACCCGGCTCGTTCCGAGCTGCTAAGGTACCGTTTCATGTCAAATGTGGACTCAAGTTGAAACACTTGAGATCTAGAGAAGACCGTTCGCGTTTTCTTCTTCCGCTTGCCTAAGTTGGCGTTGGGGTCACGTTTCTCGTCTTTGTCGAAGTCGTCGCTTTCGTCGACATCTGGATCTGAATCTTGAGGATCTTGTTGTTGAGGGTAAAGTGCGGGATGTAGTCGTGGTGAGCGTGGTGAGGAGCGGGATGGTGACGGTGGGGTGGGAACTCTGGGTGGACTGCGGGGCCGCGGCGAGCCTCCAGCTGAACCTTCTTCATTGGTAGTAGAGTCTTCTGTAACAATGTTTGTTTTTTAAAATTCTAATCTATAAAGATTTGAGTTATGTTACTATCTTAAATATTCGTTTATCAATTAAATTTTGCTTATATATTAAAATAATATATCGCTAGAAGTTTTTGATCCCGTTCCGTCCACATGCCCCTGAACAAAGTTGAGAAAAACTAGTTGTATAATATATCAAGGTTCATCTAAATATATATAACTCAAAGGTGACTGACATAGTGATCTTTCAACGCACAGCCCAAACCACTGGACGGATCGGGCTGAAATTTGGCATGCAAGTAGATGTTATGACGTAGGCATCCGCTAAGAAAGGATTTTGATTAATTCCACCCCCAAGAGAATAAAATAGGGGATGAAAGTTTGTATGCAACTTTGTCAATTTTAAACCGATTGAGATGAGACTTTGCATGCGCAAAGCTACTATGACGTAGGTATCCCCTAAGAAAGGATTTTGATAAATTCCACCCCTAAGGGGATAAATAACGTGCGAGCGAAGCCGCGGGCAAAAGCTAGTTTTAAATAAAAGGCGATTTAATGTGGCTTCTTTTACGCCTATGAATATGTGCTATGAGGAGGTTTATCAAATCCAATTACGTATATATCCAACTATCGATTTAAATCGTACTTTACGCTTACGATTAGGTTATTTCACGGATTTCTGTGCGTTTGAGGTTTTCTGATCGGTGTCTGTTATTTCTGTAAACTGTTTTAATTCTCTATTTACTGCAATTGATTTAAGCAGAATACTGTAATCCCTTGTATATTTGGGATTAGATTGTATCAAATTGATAATACTTTCTATATGTTTATTCTTTCAAGTGTTGTAAGGATGGTTTTTAAGAATTTATCTGAAAGCAATCTGGAAAATTAAATATGAGGTAAATTTTATTTCACAACGTTTGGCTGAGTCGGTTGCATGGTTAGTATTAATAAAGAAATTAACTTTCATATCTATAATATCAGCAACGAATACATCTACCAACAGTTCCTTGGTAGGCAAATGAGAATACGACTCGTCTGATGGTTACCATCGCCACAGATATGACATTGAAATAATTATTTGGTTTTCGAATGATAAGTTTTGTTACAAGTACTATTAGTACGTGAGTATGGGAGGGATTATATTATTGATATTGGTATTACTTGATGACCAATGTAGACTTTGTAAAAAGATGTCAGCCTCAGTGCCATCTTTGTCAGCCGCTCACCAGCTTGCTTTATAAGATGTGTTTCGATGTTATAGAATTCCATGATATAGGGTCTTAGTTCTCCAGAATGGCAATGCATGAGTGGTATCACGGGCGCCACATGAAAATATAGACGACATTTACCACTCACCATCAAGTGGGCCAGCTCAGCTTCAGCTTCTATTACTGTATTCGAGAATTACCACTTAGTTTGTCTTTCATTTACATAAAAAAAATTTTAGAACCGGCCTGTAAATTTTAGAACCGGCCTGTAAATTTTAGTTCCTGAAGACTAGCAATGTATCTATAATAAATATAGGTACTTACATTCTGCTGAATTTTTTACGAAGGACTAATGTCTTATACTAATACAACGTTTACAGTTAGTACAAGCAGCAGAACCATATCATTATCACCCAAATTAATATGTAAAGGATTTTGGTAACTAACATTGGGACACGAGAATGTTCTCGCGTCACAATGTTAGTTACCAAAATCCTCCGAAAAGGCTTGACCGATTTTTATGAACGATGTATATCTTCAGTAGGTCTGATAATCGGCTACTATCTATTTTTCATATCCCTAAGGGTTGTTCACTGCTAACATTTTTTTTTTTTGGACAAGTATCTATTTTTATAATATGGCATTAAATATGCATACAACCCTAAATTTTCACCCTTCTATCCAAACCCCTATTTATTAATAGAGCTATTAGTACATATTATTTATTATTAGTAGATTATCATTATTAGTATTATATGGCAAAAGCCGGGACAGCTAGTATTAACTACAATAACTTATTGAAGTAATGAGTGAAGGCAATACGAAAAGCTCTTGACTTTACATCGGCGAGTAGTCTGCGCTGTGATTGATTTTAGAAGCCGCGTAAAGTAATAGGTAGTTTGTTACCGTTGGCTTTCTGTTTACACAAACGCTTACGAGTTAAGCTGTTTATGAGTCGCCAATGTGATTTCACTATTCCTCAATAACAATTATTACTTTTTAACTACCATTACAAAAAGAAGTGTGCTTGTCGTTTTTCTGTGGCATCGTAGCTCCTATAGTAGTAGACGGTATATGATCCGTTTTTTTTTGTTTCAAAGTTGGCGGGATCGAAAACGTTCTTAGCTACAATTTATTAGATTTTTTTTCTACTTGGAGGTTAGTTAAGTTTTATTTTTACAAACACTGTATATATATCTATAATATTACGATCTTTATTTACTATATATACTAAACTAAATGATTGTTAGATGTAACCCTTTATTTTTAATATTCTAATATTGTTTGTAATATCAATTTATTTAAACATTTTAATTTAAACTATCTGTTGTTAATATTTGTTCACAGATTGTATTTTTTTAAATTAATATGTAGATAGATATAGAATTTATATGTAGAAAATTACAATCATTCATTAAAGACTATTATTAACTTACGAATTAACACTTTATTCAAATTAATACGCTCACAATGTTACAAGGAGGTCAAAACTTATTTGATTTCACTGACTTAGTTTTTAGTAATATTCGACTCTACATTACGCTAAGCAGTTTTTAAATAGGTCACCTTTGTTTAAAATACAATAATTTCCATAAAAATCTCACAGAATCAAGGATACCATATTCGAAAATTATAATAATCGCTGACGACATAAATCTAAACATACTATTTTTAGCTCGAACGTAAACGGTGAAATTACGTGAGTGCGAAAGAGACGGGTACACATTTGACATTTCGCCAGTGTTGCTATATGAGTTATTGTATGTGGATGGCAGAAAGCATTGTTCGGTCGGTTTGGGCCGCGTGAAATGGCGTTGCCTTTGTTTTGCTCAGGAGATGGGTTTTGGAAAATTAAAGCCGGAGTGGGGTTGAGTGGAGTGATGACGATTGCTTGTTTACCGATGTAGATTTTGTACTGACACGAATAATGCCTTTTTGTTTGATATGCAGTCGCAGTCAGTTGAACCAAACATGACATAAAGCAGATATTATACAGTTTAATCTACACTTAATCTATACTAGCGATACTTCGATTATTTTTACAGAGTAATAAATGATATTTACAAATAGTGGAAAGGTAATTGTTTTAACAAGCTTTTAGAAATACATATTTTTTTAAAATGTTTACATTTATTTTTAGAAATTATGAAATTGTTTTTGATTTCTACATAAAACAAACAAGTGAAAATTCTAATAAATATACAGATATTTCTATTAAAGATATTTATTGTTAACCGAGGTGGACCAATTTAAATTATTTTAACCGTCAAGCAATTCGCTTTCTAAAACTGTTCAACAGAAAACGGTTGAAGAGTGAGATAACGCAGTGAAATTCAGAATACTGAGGCATGACCTCTTATTTCTCCGGTAAGGTGCCATAGGCTTCATGAGGTGATTGGTATCTTTTATGTATATAGGTGACTGTTGACATTTACCATTAGGTGAGCCATCGCCTTGTTGCCATTCTAATTACAATTAGAAATATTATTTAAGCATTGAACAAATTACGTGTGTGACGTACTACTATCTATCTGCGACTAATTTCCGAACGTAGTTTTCAGAGATAGTGATATCGACTGTCAACTTTGAACAACTGGGTCTTGTATAATCCGGCACCACCTGACACCGGTACCACGAAATCACGACGGTAATACGATCCGGCTGTGTGACCAATCGATTTACAGTGGTAGGGTTGCCATTAGAATCTAGTGACTTCTTTAGTGATTATCTATTCATTGAAATTTAAAATTGAATACGTATAGTCGTTAGTACACGAGCGTAGCCACACAAGACACTTACCATATGTCATATATCTTTACTTTATTTACCTATTTTTAAACAGTTCGAAATATATGTACCTAGTCAAGTATTAATAGTCAAGAAGTACTGGCATGAAATTAGATTGTTGAATAATAGCAATGAATCAGTTCAAAACGATCACTTCTGGAATGAGACTATTCAAATAAAAAATCAAATACGTAAGTCACAAATAATATGAGAGTATAAAAATCTAATATTCTAAAAAAAATTGTAAATATTTAGAAACTTCAGAAATTTGTTAGTAGTTTCAGTAATTCAATTTAGTGTTAGGTAAATTGTTTCATTTTAGAACACCCAAGCGATACAAGAGTAGTTAATGTTTATACTTGTTCTCTATAAACTTTAACACAAACTATGGAGTAACAACAGCCCTGCACCGAGGCCGTACTAGTGCGCATAATCCCCTTGTTACGGCGACAGCATTCGCATTGTTTTGTTATGTTCCATTTCATAATATCCTTCCGAGAAATCGATTCGCAATCAAGATTTATTCGATGTAGTCTATCACTTATATTTTTATTTTCACTTACACGGATTGTTAGTCTAAAAGTACAATTAGTTACTGTATTTGAATCATAAGCAAATTTTATCTAGTAATACTTCTGGTGAAGTCTGCCGCCCCAGGAGTAAACAGGTACTACCGGACTCTTACTGGCTAAAAATCCCAAGATGTTCCTTCTCTCTCTCTATCTTCACCTTTTGTCGAGGTTACGGGAAGCCCGAATTTAAATGGATTTAATTGATAACTTTCAACTACGTAACAACGGTTTCAACATTCTAAATGGCATCAACCCATCAACTTTGCTGAAAATATTTATGAACAATGTTGGAATACACCCGATGGAATTCAAAAGATAAATAAAAAATAAAAACTAGCAAAATAATTTATTGTTGATGTTACATTTTCCTCTGTTAAGAATTCAATTAATTATAATCTCAGCTGCTTGCGATATGAACAAGAAAGTGGGTTGGTTTGTTTGATTGATGTTATATATTATATTAGATGTATGTTTATCTCTTGCCGTATCATTAGGCTTCATCAACATTCATTACATATGCTATACGTATCCATATTAATTCAATTTATTATAAAAAAGAGAAGTACAGTCTTTTCTTTTTAAATAGAGAAGACTATACAGTTCTATTCCTTATAAACGACTGACTTTTAATTTGCAGCGAAACTAGCCTCTACATATGCAATCTAAGTAAATACAAGAAAAGTAGGTATAATAATTCATTTTTAGTAATTAAATTACCTCTAGGCGGGGTGGATCTCTCATGTGGTCGTTGCCAGTACCACGGCGCGGGCACCAAACCCCCGTACCGTCCGGCCAGCGCACTCCATTGTGATATCAGTCCTAGCCTGCAACAGAAAACACCTATGGTATACATCTCATGAGTTGACATTCCCTGCGCACTAGTATTATGCTTCTGTAGCTTGCAATTTCTTTGCTCTATCCTAATATTGAATTCAGAATACAGTCGAACAAAGATTGAACTCTTACTACAACTACGATTGTCTAGTTTTTAAAACTAGTAGGAGATAATTGATAAAATTAAATTAAATTAATACATAGCTCTAGTTGTACGTTCGTATTTCTATAGAATAAGAAAAATACATTTCTAATATATTTTTAACCACAGAAATAGACAGAATACTATTTGTAAGGATGAACAGTGTCTTAGTGTCATTTTTAAGTAGGTATACCATAAAATTTCAATAAATAACTCATATCACTTAATCTATTGTATCTTATCTATTTCTATAATAAGGAAAGAATTTGTTTGTAAAAAAATAACTCAAAATGTACATTAATAGTTAACCATTTTAAAAATCTTTAAAGATTACAGAACGTTACTAAATTATTAAAAACATCCCAAAAATTACACCTATTTGAAGAAGAGTCGTGTTGGTAATCCATACTAATATTATAAATTCGAAAGTTTTTGTCTGTTTGTTGCCTCCACACGGCTGGACGGATCTTAATTAAATTTGTTTTGTGAAGGTAGATTACCTATATCACGAGGACGTACATAGGCTATCTTTTATTTTAAAAAATAATCTGGAAGGGTTAATATAGGGTATGAAACTTTTATGATGATAAAATTGGGGGATATATATTGATCCTAATGCATAGAGAAATAAAAACTTATTTCTCTATGTATTAGGATCAATATCTATATATAAAATACAGACAAAATGATATCAATCTATAGAAAGTCACTCAACAACTCGAGTGAAATAAAAATGTGAAACAATCAACAAAGTGGAAAAGGAAAGTGATAAATCACTTTGCAGAGTATTATAGTGAAATGTTAGCTACTTGTACTGTATTGCGGGTAGAACAAGCTTTCTCACTTACTGCGATCGCGTCGATGTATAAGTATCGATTGTCGAACAAAGGGGATTGCGGCACTACGCCGCTGGGAGCACCGGTTGACTATAGTGTTGCCGTTATGGCGATTAAAATTATATATCGATAAATAAAAGTTCACAAATAAATATCATTATCGGAACGATATCCACTTTGCAAGATATTTTTTATATTTCATGTTACGTACAGTCCATAAAAGGATATATAATCAATGATTAACAAACCAGGCCGCAGCGTGGGATAAAATAAACAACAGAATAACATTCATTCTTGTAATTCTACGTCAGTTATATTGTAATATTTTATAGTACTTGCTAGTAAAGTGCATACACGAATGCAATTAATTTACAAATTAATATGAACATCTCCTCAATATGATAGCATTATTTCATATATTATAAATATTAATAATATTTTCTAAATCTTAACACTCAAAGTTAAGTATCTACGAATCTGTAGAGGCCTACTTCTACGTAGAAAGAGTTCTACGATAGTGCTACGCCATATGCTACGCTGCTACGGGTGAGTTACGCGAAGTTTTGCACGCACCCATCGTTACAATAATGAAGGATACATTTTCACAGAAAAAGCATTTATTCAACCAATTCTATAAGGTCAACATACAGTCAATAGCAAAAACAAATAAAGATGTGTAAAAAAAGGTGTAATTTTGTATTTTTTATTATAGCTTCAAGTCTACTATTAATAAGTCACTAATTAATAAAATAAACTATACTTGGTGTTATTTAACAAATACTTTATTTATTTTTATTTTTTGATGGTAGTCAATAGATGGCGTATAGAATGTACATATAGGGGACGCAGTCGCAGGTACTACTAGATTGAAATAATTTTGTACCAAATGTTAATTAAAAAACTGTTTAAAAATTATATTGGCACTAAAATCGATATAGATACTGATTAGAACAAGCCGTTATCGACTAACCGTTAAGCAGTACCGCAAATAACAATATCAATGCTGGTTTTTATCGACTATATATTACTGTAAGCAATGCCGCGCGTAAAATAGTAAATTGTGAAAGCATTTTAAAAACAAAAGGTGTCGTCAAAAATATATACTTGTATTAAAGGTTTATTTTATGCATTTATTCTAATTTAGTTGCTTAAATTGTTTATGTGCTTTACTTGCAAGTTTAAAAAAGTCAGAAGTACACAATTTACTATATAGTACCCTTTAAGAAATTAGTCCCACGAAAAAAGTAAAGTAAACCTCAGGGCAAACAAAAAAAGTTACTCATCACAAACCCTTTTGAAAAGAAAACGCCTAATTATCGCTTAAAATACCCGACAAAAATCGATAGAGACGTAAATAAAAAAACCGTATTTACCAATCTGCATTGATTCTTAATCCGCGACGTTCCAAGTTCGAAGTTCAAATTCCATTACACCATAAAGCAGTGCGAAGAGAAAGCTTGAATCTGATTGGTTGGCTCACCGCGCCCTGATTGGCTGACTCGCTAACCCCGCCTCCCTCTGGGGGTATAAAAATCGATGCGCGGGTTCCTTATTCTCTTTTTGTCGCGGCGCGTCGCTCGACACTTTTCAGTTGTTGCTAATAATGGCGTTTGTGCTTTCTTTTATGGTTTAAAGTGTTTACTTGTATCCGTTGTCCGTGCAAGCGTCGCGGGAGCCTTTTGTTAGGTCAGATAGGGTATTCTGAGATGCATTTAAAAGCTTCTCAGGGATGTCTTTGTTGTTTTCTAGGTTACAGGTGACACTATTCCGCTACAAATACTTGCAAGTTTCAGAACACCACTTATTTAAAGAAGACATTGTTACTTTCAAATATGAATAGATATTTTCTTACAATCGGTATGCTTTAAGTAGTTGAAAAATGTATTATTATTCGAAATATTAAACAATGATATAATGACTTTATAAGTCTATTTTTAAATCTTAGGAAGTTAAGAACTTTGGTAATATCGATTTATGAAATTTTAATCATAAATTTAGCCGAAATCCAAAGCTTAAATTGTTAGTTACTCATTAAAAATATTATTTTATACAGTATTTTTTTTTTTTATTTCCTAAGTCTAGATTTTGCAACATATATATTACAATATCAACCTCAACTAAGTTAACGTCAACCAATATCTTACAGAATCATTTAATTCGTCTGAAATTGCATCGTAAACTATACGGTAGAGTTAAAAACTACAATAATTACGTACAAATATTTTATTACGTGTGTATATGTTTGAATTTTGTCAGTAATAAATAAACACTTATGTGAAAATTTAATTTCATCTAAAGAAAAGTATTTACTTTATTATCCACAAAAATTGTGGACTAAATTCTATTTTAAAAAGGCAATATGTACACCAACACAAAAGGCCAGGTCGCCAATAATACCCTGAACACTTTCAGATTTGTGTTGACAACTTTAAACTATATTCTCCAGGGATCTAGATAGCAAGTTTCGCTGCAGAAAAGCAGCCCAGCTGTAGAGTTATTTGATTGGCGGTCACTAGTGAAGCTAGAGCTTTAGTCAACTTAGTAAGTATACTAAAAACACGCTATACATGAATATTTTAAAAACATAACGGAATTTATGATATCGTTCATATGTCCGATGTTTTCAATTTATTTCTATAATCGTAAGACTTTTTTTATAAAATAGTTCTAATCCTGATTAATCACAGGAGTATAGGTAGGACCTAATAATACTAGAACCTAGTTGCACCAAAAAATTAAAAGGTCCACCTATTTTTAAAATCTGTTAAAATTAAGACATAAATTTATAATGATAAGTCGACAGCTATAAATATTTTCCCTCTAATCCCTAGACCCCCCTCTATATGAATTCCGACAGCGTAATATCAACGCCCTAACATAAAATCAAAATAAAAACATTCCTTGAAAAATCAGACACCCTACAATCGTCTAAACCGATAAGTAGGTAAACGCGAACTTCCCCTTACTTAAGGCGTACATAGACTCCGCAAGATATAGACGTCGTATGGTACAAGTAACCAGAGACTCGAGAAATATATTAAAATTAATAATAAAGTATCTCCGAAATGTGCAGTCTTAGTTTGGAGATTTTGTATAAATAATACTAATTAATAAAGGAAAAGTATATAAGAATAACTTTTAAATAATTATACAACATGTTACTCAAGCATAATGGATTTTGAAGTCTTTATTTGCCCTTTAAAATAATGAAGGAAAATAAACACCTTAAATTTTATATGCAACAATGATTGTACAGTAATATTGTTTAATTTTTATAAAGTTATATCTGATTAACCATGGGACATCGCCCGCATGACCAGAACACATTAGGTCACCCAGTTATTAAGTTATCTTTAGTAAAATATAATATATTGCTAACTGTTACAATCGAATAACTTAAATTTTAATCTACTAATATTGATTAGATATCTACGCAAATGTATACACATACATTTCATAGGTATATACGTACTGTCGTGTACTAATAATTAAAATAATAAATATGTTTAGTTCTCAATCTTTTCTAAGTATCTTCATTTTCTGTATAATAAAATTATCTATATGGTTCATAATTATTAGTATAATTAACAATAATCATAGAATCGGGCTATGACGTGTTGAATAATAATAATAATAATAATAATCTCAGGACAATTTACACAGCGCCATCTAGACCCAAGTTAAGCTAGCTAAAGCTTGTGTTATGGGTACTAGATAACTGATACAAATACATAGATTTTTTTTTTCGTTAAAACATACATATTATACATAGAAAACACCCAGACCGACACAAACAATTATACTCATGAATACAAATGTTTGTGCCGTGCGAGGAATCGAACCCGCGACCATCGGACGTAAAGCGGTGTGCTAAACCACTAGACCACCGAGATCGTCAAATGTGATGATCGAACAATTATCCGGCCTGCTATCATCACCGCTTCGCTTATGCACTTGCGGTATTTCACAACACGTTAAATTATTTATATTTACGAGTAGGGTGAAGTAGCTAGATTGTGCGCCCCATCGGCTGTGCCATGATTTGGGGCGGATTCCAGTTATTTAGTATTATTAGCGACCGTTAAATGGGTGGGTACTTAAGGTGAAGTGAAATAAAGTATACTTAACTTTATTTCCCGAGTGAGATGACTTATTTTAAATTTAAATAGATAGAGACGTAAATAAAAGTAAAAAATATGAAAAATATTTTAGCCAAAAATAGCATTGAATAATTTATTTTTCTGAATAATAAATATATATGTACCTATATAGTGGATTATGTACGAAGTATTTGCTTAAAAAATAAATTCAAATTCGATGTAACAAAAAAATTGCGTATTTAATCTGATTATAATTACATATAAAATTATATTTAAACCGAGAGCCTCTTATTTGAAGTCTGTTCAAGTAATTTGCTTTTATGCAAACGATAATCATAAATGCTCAGCATTTATGTATACCTATTGTACCTGGCAGGCATTGTCTGCCACCACCTACGGCGCCTACAGAGTCCAATTGTACTCGTGTATATATAGAAAATTTCATCTACATAGTTCTAGCCGTTTAGTTTTAAACACCTCAGTTACGTAACAATTAAAGCATATAACTACAGAAAAATCTCATGTATATTAATAACTCATTAATACTTGATACAATTAAGGTATGTCAAATGTGAAAACTGGGTTTACCAAAATTAAATAAAATCACCTTTATCGAGAGCCAATATCTGTCCCATACTTTAGCATATACGTATTATTATCTAAAGGTATCTCTAGCTCAGTAGTTGGTCCCGACTGGCTTACTAGTACGTCGTAAATAACTCACATGGCACATAAGGTGGGATCACGAGCCGTGCCGAGCCTCACGTGCGGGATAGATGCGCACTATATAGAAACAATAAGATTTCTAGCAGTAAAAAATATTCCGTTTGGTATATCTAGAACTAAATTTGTAACAGATAGAAATTCTTATATAGCGGATGTAATGCTTTTGTACCTTTCTACCGGATTAATTTTAAACATTGTGATAAAAAGTGGTCACTATCATTTTATATATTTTGCAGAATTATAAATAGAAAACATAAACGAAATTATAATAATTATATAAAAAAATATATAAGTTAAAAAAAGTGTTTGCCATTAACTAAATTTCAATATTATTATTTAAAAAATATATAATTAATCCATATTTAAACATAATTGTTTCTGATAGAAAAATTACTAAAGCTGATAATAAATTCTAAATACAGATAGGTAAGCCTTTATCATTAAAACGTCTTACAAATCCCACCTCACTAATTAACGAATAGAAAAAGCTTTCAAAGCATTATTTTCCCTAATTTTCTTAAAAGGCTCTTGATTACAGAGACTCGGAATTATTGTGTACTTTTTTTTTGTAAATCGTCTAATTAGTCATTTAAAGCTGGCTGAAATAACAAGGATAAACACCCGAGGGTTTGAATAAAAAAAGAAAGTAAAAAAAAAGTTTTTAGAAAATAATGCCGGCAAGAATGACAGATCGTTTACACGAGTACAATATGTCCGCAGTCACTTCATAATTAAGATGGGGGACAAGGACAAGTACAAAATGAAGAAGTTGCAGATTCCGTTACTTTATTGCTAAGATTTTTGACAGAGGTAGAAACAGAAGTGCTAATTCGTACATTTTTATGCATAAGTACTCTATATTTTTAACTTTTCATTAAAAAATCTATTAAGTGATATCGTTTTGTTTAAGCATTTGGAATGATAAACAAACTAATAACATATTTGACAGAAAATTGATATCAGTAAATAGATCTACATCACGAATATGACAAAGTATTCTGTGAAATACGTAGAGTCACTCATGCGTTAATATCCTTGAGTGTTTGCTTCCTGTTGAAAAAACATTGTATATCTCATCAATTAAAATCGGAACACAGCTTCCAAAACAGCATATGGCGGAAAAATAATAAGACTGATGCAGACGATTTTATCCAAAGTCTAGTCTTTAGTAAAGATTGTATTGTTTATAATTTCTATATTGTTTAAAAAGGAAATTGAATCTCTCTAGTCATTTAAAATAATTGTAAGTTATCCAGAGATATTAGAGACTTTGCATTTTTTTAATCTGCGAATTGAACCCATATTTGTACCTACGAATATTCCGCCATTATCAACTACTCTGTATTATGAGCTAATGTATAGGTAGGTACGTATCTTATGTGTATAAGTATGTAATATTATGTTATCTGTGGTATAAGCTAATATAAAGTATTTATATATCCGAATCCTTATGACTAATTACTATACGAAGAATTTATATCTTTGGCTTAGATTTAATAAATGCAGAACTAATATTACATCACAAGTCATAGAAATGACATAACAATTGTCTAAAAATCGTCGTTAACAAATTGCAAACTTAAACCAGAACAGGCAGCTCGTCCCGCGGTACGACGGGCCTCATGTCAAACAAGACAGCCGTCCTGTCCCTAATTTGTTACCAAATAGTCTCGCTCGTTTACCCCATTTCTCGGACTTTATGCCTTGTGTTGCCAGATAAAAGGGTCGTTCTCTACCCTGTAAAAGGGGAAAACTACTTCTTGTAAGTCTCGGCTTGATTAGATGGAGGTAATGATGTACCCTCGTGGATTAAGCGGATAAAGGGTGTAGGGTTTTGTTTTTATTACATTTGTTAGTTCGGATTATGTGGCTCTTAGTGTCTGTGTAAATAGAACAGATTTTTTTGTTCATGATAAATTACTTTCACATATAGTGTTGTATTTGTAGGTATAACATAAAAATAAAACATAATGTTGTAACAAATTAATGAAAATTGTGATTTGTAAACATAATGTTACTGTTCATTACTATATTTCCTTTCATTAATTGATTAGAATTATTTTATGTTTTTAAGTGCCTTTTTAAAAAAAGTAAATACAAATATAGTCTTGGATTGCAAATATAAATTAGGTAAGTAAGGTAAATAAGGTTATGTCACTTATGAACGAATGCAATACTTTGGTACCGATTTAATTTCGTGTAAGTGAGCTACTAGCTCTAAGCACAGGCAAAATTTATTTTAATTGTATAAAAAGTGGAATTGGAAATCAAAATATAGCAGATAGCTATAGTATGTAATAAAATGTAAATAGATTAAGTTGCTTATCGGTGAACTACGTCAATGGCTCAAGGTTGTTTCTCCGACCACTTAAATTACTCCGACCAGTGGCTGGATAGTGCTCAGGATCGATTAGGGGCGGCCGCTGCGGTCATTACGGAACTTAATCCGAGAGTTGTGGTAGCTTTGGATAAAGCAAGTCACTTGACCAACAACTGGCTCATTGTTCAAAAATAATAGATAAATTTAGACTCATATATGAATAATTTGATGCTGTTACCAAACTGTACTGGCCACTGACAAAGGCGACGATGGTAACATATCTAATGGAAAATGATTGCAGTTACCTAATATAATATACATAGGATATGAATAAGAATGGGTGCCATTCCTAAGATATATTCTGAAGAGTAAGATCTTATACCAGAGTTTAATTCGTAGTTAAGTCAAGATAATTCGTAATCATTACGTTTATTTAAAATTTATTTTGCACTTTTTGCTTTGCACACATTTGCACTTAACACACTCAAGACAGGTAGTGTTGAGTGTGTCAAATATTTCATGCTGCTGCTGTATTGGATTGACTCGGTGAGATCTCTTTTAGAGATATAGCCTCCTTTAATAACATTATTTCTGATTAACATACTTAAATAATATATTCAAAATGCAATAATGAATAGGTATATAAAAACTAAAGTATAGATCATGTCAAGTGTTTTTAATTTTATTATTTAAGATTGTTATTACAACGTCGTATGTGCCTACATGTAGCCATTTATTTATGTGATTCCAGTGGTTTAGTTTTGTTCAAACGAGGCATTACCCGTAATACTTTTGAACTAATAGCGTTCAAGTTAGTAAGGAATACAACTTGAATATTAAACTCATAGTCGCTGGATACAGATATCAAACCGGTAGGAAGATCACTGAATGTTCAATAATTGAGTGTAACCTAATGGGCACCTACCTAGCTTAATAGTAGTACGGTAACCTAAACTTAGAGGTTTAACCTGTGGGTTTGAACTTAAGTGATCAATGAAGCATATTAGTGAATACGTAACCGAATTAAATTGGATTTAGATACTGAATATCACCTGTTGAAATAAAAGAAACTGAAAGTAGAACGATTAGTTTAGTTTCTGATGTTATGTTTTTCCTGTTATAAATAGTAAAATTGACAAATATTTGTAGACTGATTCTTTAAGTATAATGTGATTATTTATTCTTTATTCATATTTATTAATTTTTCTTACCTTGATAGCATTGCATCATTTGCGTTCCCGAATTGATTTGCCGCCAAAGCCGCTTCCAGAACATTCGAATCTCTTCTAGGTTCGGTTCTGTTTAGAATAGAGCTAATTGAAAAACTGGTGTAGGGCGCACTGCCTGTCGCCTTTTCTTCTTTATCCTTCTTCAGTTCATAATAGGGACTCTTCTGTTCTGGTCTAGAAGGTGACGACGTGATATCTGGACTGCTCGCACCTGACACCACGTTCACTTCGATGTCTCGTTCATCTTGCGATGACACCGGAGAGTCCATTTTGGTGGTCAGTTCCTCATTTTATGGCGATCTGAAAAATAAATAGTTATTGAAATAAATCAAATCATAATATATTTTTTAATTAACCTGTAGCTGTGCCTGTAGTGTCGTTATATCGTTGACGGTCTCGATGGTCTAACGGTTTAGCACACCACCTTTCTTCCAATGGTCGCTGGTTCGAATCCTCGCACGGCACAAACATTTGTATTCATGATTATGATTGTTTATATCAGTCTAAGTGTTTTATATGTGTAATATGTATGTACTTACGAAAAAAAATATAATTATAATACATAGAATATTTGTATCAGTTATCTAGTACACAAGGTTTAGCTATAGCTTAACTTGGGTCTCTAGGTGGCGCTGTGTGAATTATCCTCAAATTATTGTTATGAATATTTCCTTCATAATTTTTCTAACAAGTAATTAACGTGCTTTAGAATATTCATTCATTCATTCCTTTACCTTTAAAGTATTTGTTAGTTTGTATCAAAATGCAAACTTTACTTAGTTTAAAATAAATCCTAACCTAAAACCGGGTGGTAGTGTAACATTTACTAAGTCAATATAAGATACATCAATTGCTCGTATAATTCCTCGTATCCAGTTCAAACTAAACTCTTAACGGGCTGCCTTAAGACATTTACTGATATTTATAATTCATCACCTTTAAGTGCATTATTGTTCTTAGCCCTTATTTAGGGCTGTCCCCTAGGTATTAGAGTAATATTAAGAGGTACCGTACATTCCCCTCTACTGAATAAGTAATAGGAATTATGCAGACTACGGCTTTTGAGAAAAATCTTACCATTCGATAATCTCGTTTCGGTATCAAAAGCTTTTTGCGTTTTCGGAGAAAATGGGATCATATTGATGTCGTGAAATGAGTAGAATGTTTTTCACTGGTAAAAAAATCTTGAATATTATTTTAATAAAACTGTTTGTGTTATATATGTAGCAAAAGATAAACATCAGTAATACCTATATGTTAATACTACCAACTACTAATATTATAAACACGAAAGTTTTGTTTTGATGGATGTTTATTTCTCTTTCATTTTGATGAAACTTTAAAATAATACCATAGCCACGGCATATATATATATATATATATATATATATATATATATATATATATATATATATATATATATATATATATATTAATATATATATATAATGCATTAAATAGTCTCCGAAAGAACGGGCCATACCTATTTGAAAATTTATTTTACCGTTTTAATATTATCCTTTATGAACATAGGCCATAGAATATTTTCCTTTTATCTACCCATAGTGTGAAATAAATATTATAAAACGCTGAGGAAATCATCAACAATAGAGCAAAGTGATGTAAGTATGTAGGTAGGTACTACAGTTTCATAGAGGATATTAATATCAAAGGTATGTGTAAGTCTCAAAAATTATAATATTAATTTTTTTTAAATGCCCGTGTGAAGCCGGCATTGGACGTTACTATTACATAAAACCATAGCAAAAAATTATTGACTCTTGATATCGTCTGTATGCTTCGTATTTGTCTAAAGGTAACTAAGTAAAGTCCCAGCAGTTTTTAAGTTTAAGTTTTAAATTTGTAAATATATAATAGATTGAATTTCACGATTATACGAGTAATAGGTATCGATATTTGTAGATGCAGGCGAGATGATACCAATATAAGTAATACACAAAAAATTGCTAGTTATGTTTTATTTGAGCCATGAGGTGAATATGATTACAGTTTTCATTCCCTCTATTCTCTATACATACCTAACAAACGAAGGTGTATTGGCAGTATATTTAAACATAAACTTGTGTCCTAAACGAATCTAGTATTCTGTTCAATTAATGTCCGGCCATTAGTCAACCGTATTTGAATAGCAATGTCAATTACGTAAATGACAACAAAATGGCGAACTACACATTTATCGTAAAGTAAGTGGCAATCAAACGAGCAATTCACATTGAAAAGCGACGGTCACGGGAAATATTGCAAATTCGTGCATTACATATTGCGGATTTCGAATGCGCGTATTCCACGAAATTTGTTTTTGGCCGTCGGCGGATTTTCGCGGCGACAAATGAATGTTTGATCACGATTTAAATGTTCATTTAAATTTTGCTAGAATTAATTAATTTATTTCATTATATCGATAAATGCTTTATAATATAATGTGGTTCCTGAAAATTATTTATTGCAGCAGTTTAAAATCGACATGTTGTGAATTCATATGAAGCATTGATTTAAGAATTATATCGGAAATGGTTAATTCTACGTTTCATTATATTATATGATATAATATAATGAAATGTAGAATTAACCATTTTGATTTATAAAAATAATTTTAAACATGTTAAATTACTAATGCGAAACAACTGAATTGTAAAGCACATTCCAGTATTACAAATAACACCTCAATTGATTTTAAACTATTTCATACATTCATGTAATTCATAAATTCCGATCTGGAATTTGGTCGTGAAAGGGACGTAAGTAAAAAAATTAGAAAGGATAGATGTCCACTCTCCCTTTTCCTATTTTTCCTATTGTTTATAATACAGACATAATATATATTTATAATATAATAAATGAACTAGATAGTAATTATACTACTAGTACTAACGTAGTAACTACCAATATCCATTTAAGTGGTTCACTGACATAAATTTAATTTTTTACAATACCTAGGTAGTGTAAAATGATGAAAAATGTAGGTATAACGTTTAGTCTCCCAACGGTATCGCGTCATAACTAATTTATTTGCAAGTTTTTAAAGGTTCTTATACATAGTTGCTTTTTATTGAATAAATGAATATTATGTAGATTGTAGGAGAATTATAGGAACATTAACAAAAATTATATATATATATATATATAGTGTATACATAAGTCATGTGAACTTCTATAAGAGCCGTCAAATATGGCTTTCAAGAAAATACATTTATCTATATAACTGACGTGACATACAAAGTTTATTACGACCGGCATGTGTATTCACGCCCTAAACTTATAAAACTAAACTGTGTTGCCATTTAAATTATGCAAGAGGGAATATGCTAAATGATAGTAATTTACTATAATGCGAAATTAAAAATTGAGCATAATTATCTATTCGGGAATGGATCGCCTAGCCAATTAACTACCAGAAACCCATAAGCTTACCGAGGTAGACTTCGTAAAAAAATAGCCTAGGGGTTCCTCTATTACCTTTTACCTTTCGGATTAACGGATGGGACATGTAAGTTAAACTACAGAGTAAAGAATGTATATTTTAACATTTGTTGTCAGAAATAGTGCTGATCACATAAATTAATTTATTTTGTTCCTCAAGTAACTATTAATTATATCAATATTGCTATTGGCAGTTTTTATTCACGCAAAATTCTTAAAAATGTAATTTAGGAACATTTATTTAAAAGAGCAATATGCAATTTTCTTGCTCATTCTTCTTGTGATGAGTATGCGTTCCGAATGAGTAAGTATGTTGTAAGTATCAAAAAAATATTACTATTCTAAAGTGCTTGTATTAAGTTTATTTGAATTAAGGTTATTTCTATTTCAACATACATATACGAGTACATAGGGGATGGTTGCTACTTTCCATCAAGTAGATCATCAACTTGTTTCCCATTTAGTTAAATAAGAGAGCCTTATCATCTATTAGCAGCTTCCAATGTTCTGAAATCACTATGTGATATCTATGAAAATATCTCATAGTGTCATTTAGTTCTTAGTCACTTCTAGTAATCACACTCTTCTTTACACGGACATTAAAAAAATGGTTTCCTTTTACTTCGTACTATTACGTTGGCTATAATGAAGGCTATATTGACATTATAGACACATGTCTGATAATATTACGAAGTACAACGAAATATTGCCGCTGTAAAGAAATGTGTAATAAGCTAAATAAATAAAAATGTGCCACTCATTAAACTAGATACTAGTTAAACTCTGCATTCATATTCAACTTTCCGCCTGACATAGTTACATAAATCAGCGCATACTCATGTTATTAAACACTTTATTAAAAGTCTTGTCACATAGATAAATTAATGTCACATTTTCATATTAATTTCTAATGACACCCTTGAAAATTTAGGGCAAATGACCTCGCTATAAACATATATAGTAACATATAAGGCAATCGCGTGACCGCATACTTTATATGAGATCATTTTAGTCAATAGCAGTATGAGTATGTATTTATATTTGTACAGAATACTAACCATATTTTAAACAATTATGGTAGAGAGTCATGTGATTTGCGAAAAGAGATAGAGCCGCTTTCATTGATGAGTAAGTAAGTAATTTTTCACCTAGCCAAAAATGAAGAAAATGATAGTTTGGAAAATGGAATTGAGTAATTAACACGCAAATATCTTTACATACTTACATACTTACAATATTTATTGCTTTATGAAAGTAGGTAGTTAGTTTGAAGACATTGTCTATAGATAGATGTCACATATTGAATAAATAAGTATATAAAATTTCATCAAAGTCCGTCTATTGAGTATCATCGAACACAATATTTGACATATATAATATTAGACGGATATAATAAGTTTTAGCTTGTTAATAGAAATATCCTTTTCAAAGGTAAATAATATTTTGACAACAGCCCTTATAAGTTGTAAAGGGAGCTCTTTCGAGTGGTAAGTAGTGGTGTGATTGTATAGTTAATCGATACAAAAGTATCGGTTACGCATTAACCACGGTTCGGTCACCAGCGCACACCCGCCCGTGATTCTCACAGATAATAATATTGTGTTACAGTCAAGAAATTAAATTAAGTAACCACTTACAAAAATTAATAAAAAAAGATATGTAAGTTAAATTATGTTTATGTTGCTTTCATATTTCTCTTTATAATGTAATTGTTATAATGTTCACATAAGATGTCTATTTCTTCAACAATCACTTAAAAATTAAACTGTTAAATTATTTTACATTCCTAATAGTCCTCAGGAATCTAAAACCGTAAAAATCATTTAAAAAAAGTACATTTTACCTCCATTTAGTCATTACAAAACACATATTGCCAATTCGTTATTTAATCGTCATTCTACATTTGAATTTTCCAAATATCAATGACAGATTAGTGAATATGTTATCGATACGAATTAAAATATTAGCTTAATTATGTTTGAATTTTGATCAACAATCAAATTTAATGTACATTTGATTTTTGTGGTCTCTCTACATACCTAACCAACCATAGAGTTTAAATCTATATAGACTTTAGTTATATGAAATCCGGAGTGAGTGAATGTAACCCGAAACTAACCATAGACAAGGACTGGCAGATGGCCAGTGCGATAGCATCTCGGACCGTTAACTTTACGGCCACGTAAACCAAGCTAACCCTTGCATGCTAATCGACACTGACTGTAACACGGCTTGCTTTTACACCGTAGCGTAGCGTTGGGAATATCTATCGGACTTGTCCATTGTTAGTATAATTTAAATAGTATTTATATTTCTTTTATTATGTACATAGTAGTTAGCAATACTAGTAACTTTGTTCTCTATATCGAGACGTAGTTATTGATGATTATAAACTTTCTCATTTATATATCACATTCTATATAAGATAACAAAAAAAAACTAAAAAACAAGGAAATATTGAATCGAGATTCACCCATTCGCATAGGTACTTATATTTTTTTGTAAATACTAGTTATATAAAATTACTAAAAATACAATTTTTAGTAATTTTATATAATTATTTCTTTTATATATTACTTCATTGGCAAGGTCAGATATTTTCTTATTTTTATTTAATGTAATGGTTACATGGCTAGTCACTGGTATGTATTTATATTCACATGTGAAATAATATTATTTTTTTTAACATTGTAATTATATCTTGGTGCCGTCTGTGTCTTTATTAGGATTGAGCAACCTGTCTTAATTCAAACCCAGATTTTAGTATCTATGCCCACAACTAAAGAGGTCCCATTACTTTACTAACTTATAAGAGCTGTTGTCAAAATATTATTTACCTTTGAAAACGATATTTCTATTAACAAGTTAAGACTTATTATATCAGTATACCCAAAACTCTAAGTACATCAAACCACGATACATTCCTATTTAAATAAATATTCAGGTCCCCGCTCACCGCGGTGTAAAAGCGTCCCTCAGGAACGTCAAAGCGCATCTTAGTTGCACTCAAAAAGGGTTATTAAAATTTGACTTTGTAATGTTTACGAGGACTGCTATAAAACGTCATTTGGAAATTAAAACTGGCCGACAAATCGACTGGGTTAATTAATTACTTGCCCGTGAGCTTTCAACTTTATATACATGGGACATAGACCTAACTATTGATAGATGTAGGTATAAGTAAAGAAGGGATCATTTATGACGTAAATATTTAACCGAATACGAAAAAGGAGGAAATTTCCAATTCAATTTACATATTTATTCTCTTGTAGTCTATACAATTAATGTTAATTAAGTTGGTAGGTTCTGTATCACAAATACAACGTAAGCCACCATGCTTGATAAAAGTAATATGTTACCGGCGTTACAATAAAGCCTTTGTTTTGAAAGTAATCATATTAATGTCGGTTTATAAGTTGTGAAAATATCGCGTAGCAACACGAAAATTTGTATTGTAAAGAGTCTCGTTAGTTAGAAACAAGTTAACGTAGCTTCGTTCAACCGCCTGATGGAAATATTTAACTATGAATATCTCTGACAATTTAATACGCATAATTTATAGTTTATGTCTCCAAATTTTCAGTTATATTGTGACTCTTTTTTTTACCCCTTCGACTAAGATTTCAATTCCTTACTTGACATTAAAGTTCCTTACAGACCTTACAGTAGTACCTAATCCAAATTAAAGTTGTTACGAGTATACTCTTTAAGTAGAAACCTATAATAGATAGAATAAGTTAATGCCATAAATGTCTAAGAGCAAGTGACAGACGTCGTTAGATATGTAAGGATAATGCAGATTACTATAGTTTTTAATACACAATCTAAAATGTACAGAGCTTAATAAAAAAAATGTAATAAATAATCCGTTTATATTTTCAGTTTTATTTCGTCCCACCGGATTTCTAAATGAGAGCAAAATGTCAACTATTCCTATATACGAAGATATTGATAGCTACTATAAGATGTGGTATATTTTATTTTTGTGGTTCAACTAAGGACTTTTTAATTTATATGCATGTCCGTATAATAGTTCGGGTGCACCTAAAGATAAATATTTATTGATCATATGCGTTGTTAGACTTATCTAAAAACGCATAAGTATGTACTTAGGCAGTGAATCGTTGCAACTATTTTCGCGTGGTTTTATGTTAAATTTGTCGGTGGCTAATTACCTTCAGCTAATTCTACCTATTTTTGATATGATGCCTTAATCTCTAATGAGAACAATTACGATCATTACTACAGAAAAAAATGTCCTTTTATAGACTCGTGCCTCGTAAGTAGACGGTGAATATAGTACTTGTCACTAAATAAGTTTTTGAGACAATTTATTATACAGAAATATTAAATATGTAGACATCGCGAAATTCTAATATTATTATGAGTACATTTAATGTACAGTAATTTTTAATGAACATTTACTATACAGTTTTCATCAAGTTAGCTGTAGTTTTAGGAGAAATAAGGATAGGTACCTAAAACCTACGTCAGTAAAGTTACTTAGAACAAAGTGGGAGATTATTCTAACGTTCTAATTTATTTATTTTATTGCTTCTTGTTTTGATTTTGATAAATATGCGTATTTTTGTATTGATTGCTGCATGCATTCTTATGTAAAATGTGAATACTATAACTATCACATGGCAATTCTAAGTAGCTATGACGTGGTCAAGTGTCTGGAGTAGCCATGCTGACTAAAATATCCAGACATGTGGCGGCGTGGTGGGCCGGGTCATTTTATTGGAGCGCAGTGACGACTTCCGTCATACTTGTGAACGAGTGCTGCTTGTAGGGACTGGTCTGCTCTTATGGTCTATTTTCTTAGTTTGTATTATACTTCAACTTAAAAATGTAAAGCAACAACAACATTATTTAAAAGAGCAACACACATATGCGTTTTTAGACTTATCTAAAAACGCATAAGTATGATCCCCTGTTACATTATAATGGGTATCAAAATTACGACGCCCACAAACTTACGTCAGATCCGTCAGGAGTATGCCTTCAGACGCTCCATAAGTATTTTCGGGTTTGTAGTATCCTTTGTTTTCAACCCCAATTTCGTGTCTCCGGTCGTTTTATTACGAATTCCGTTAGCAGTCACAGCTCAACTATATTCCAAACTTTTCGGTACTTCACTCCGACTTTTTAAATATACAAAGTGTTCATTACAACAACGGGACGCGAGGGATTTTTAGTAATAGAGGCTATCTCCCCATTGCTAGTAATGTGCTCTATCAGATCTTAAACGTAGTGTTGAAAACCATCGGGTATAGTCCTGGTGAATTCACCACGATAGACTAACTAACTTCATCCTAATTCTAACGTCTTCCAGTGGTACTCTATTGAAATACCATTCCAAATTCATCCATAAAAAACTGTGCATTGTCAATCTACAACGTGTTAGACATACTAGTGACCACTGTTAGACCTACAAGGAAATATTAAGTTGCTCAGCGAATAATATGGAAAAGAATAAAATGGATACAAGAAATCAATAACATGAAAGGACAATATATATATTTATATATATTTTTTTTATTTTCTGTTTCAAGCGTACTCAGTGTAGCAACTTGTACGCGTACCAAGTTTAGATTAGCTCTCCGTTGATGTTAAACATCTTTAACAATAATTCGACCAAACTATTGTATGATGAATCCGAAATGCTGAAGCACAATACAAACAGCCAAGAACCACTTATATCTTTATCAGCGACCAACGACCACGGAAACGAAATAGACACCTCTAGCAAATTTATAATTACGTAAAAACGTAAACAAATTTATTTATCCCTTATCAACTGGAGTTATCCTATACGCACAATATATTATGTGATATCCGTAACATAAAAGATGGTTATTAATTATCATCGAGCGAACAGTAATGTTTGTTATTTTTAAAAGATATCTATACATATGAATACATACCTGATAAAATATATATATAAGTTTGTCCCGATGATCTATCACATACACAGTACATAATAGGTATCCGTCATCACAACACTACACTTCCATAAATGTGAGTCTATACGTTACAACCACGCAAGAATCGCGTGACTTCCCCGCGTTCGGCCTATTCAGAGCTTGTGAACAGACTGGCAGCTACCCTTAAACATTGGGGCGGCACTATTCTTTAGAACCACCCCTTATTCGGCCAGCCAACCGTTCATCCCTGTAGCTATCTCGTTCACACAAAAATACTAACTTATTCCAAATCTAAGGATCGAAATTGGACTTTACTCCATTAAGTTAGGGTACTACGTAGCAGCACATATTACGGTTAGGGTAAATAATCGATAGGGGTAGGAGAAGATAGCAGGTTAACGCAATTAAGTGTGTACTTAGGCAGTGAATCGTTGCAACTATTTTCGCGTGGTTTTATGTTAAATTTGTCGGTGGCTAATTACCTTCAGCTAATTCTAGCTATTTTTGATATGATGCCTTAATCTCTAATGAGAACAATTACGATCATTACTACAGAAAAAAATGTCCTTTTATAGACTCGTGCCTCGTAAGTAGACGGTGAATATAGTACTTGTCACTAAATAAGTTTTTGAGACAATTTATTATACAGAAATATTAAATATGTAGACATCGCGAAAATCTAATATTATTATGAGTACATTTAATGTACAGTAATTTTTAATGAACATTTACTATACAGTTTTCATCAAGTTAGCTGTAGTTTTAGGAGAAATAAGGATAGGTACCTAAAACCTACGTCAGTAAAGTTACTTAGAACAAAGTGGGAGATTATTCTAACGTTCTAATTTATTTATTTTATTGCTTCTTGTTTTGATTTTGATAAATATGCGTAGCGGTTTTTGTATTGATTGCTGCATGCATTCTTATGTAAAATGTGAATACTATAACTATCACATGGCAATTTAAATAGCTATGACGTGGTCAAGTGTCTTGAGTAGTCATGCTCGCTGAAATATCCAAACATGTGGCGGCGTGTTGGGCCGGGTCATTGGGCTCCCTAACATATGGTGGAGCGCAGTGACGACTGGCTCATCCGTCATACTTGTGAACGAGTGCTGCTTGTAGGGACTGGTCTGCTCTTATGGTTGTATATTTAATATTTTCTTAGTTTGTATTATACTTCAACTTAAAAATGTAAAGCAACAACAACATTATTTAAAAGAGCAACACACAAATTCTCATTCTTCTTGTGATGACAGACAGCTTTCCAAATGAGCGGTAGATTAAAAAAAATGTGATGACGATTCAAAAGTGCTTCAATATAAGTTTATTTGTACAAATGATATTCTATCTTATTCTAATAATTTCTAACTTCACAATGGTTAGTTATTACTGAAAATTATATAGATTGTAGTATATTAGCCATGTTTCTCTACAATAAGCAATTTTCTTATAAGATAATACCCTATTGTTAGTTCATAAATATGAAAATACTTCTTAACTGTACGAAATTGAATCTTAAATGAAGAACATGAGTTTAGTAGTAAATTCCTGAAGAATGGGTAGCCATATAATAATGTACCAATTTAATAGTAGGTATGTCTATAGATTATTACACAGACAGGACAGACTATACTTCTATCTATCTACCCAATAATCTATTTACCTCTATACGTACGTATTTGTGATATATATTAAAGATCGTAAGCAATATATTAAACATAACGTGTACAATTATTACAATAAGGCGGTTCTATAGATATTCATTCAGAATATTAACTATTAGGAGAATCTCGTGGCCTTTATGAATTAGGTTGAAATACCTAAATTCACGCACGCAAATCACTTTGCACCTTAAAGACGATATCCTCTATCTAAACCAAGTATTTAAAAATAACCTATATAATGTAGTGTATCTATGTACCTATCTATATAATACCATAAAATGTAGGTTATTTTTAAAATTGGCAAAGTCAAACTAGTCTTAAATCCCAATTCAAACACAAATGGCCATTCTTCTTGTTTTAGATAAAGTATATCTTCTACATCCAAAGTATATAAGGCTAAGTTCCATTAAAAAAATAAATGAAATCCTCTAGAATTCCTACAAGACCAATTAGCTGCAAATTAGTCATTAAACTGCGTGTAGAGGCGGCGGGCGGCGTGGTCGCAGCGGGCCCGCTACGGAAACGCTGGAGGCTTCTACCACACTAATTTAGCTACGTCTGCGCCTTAGGGGTAGAAGGGTAACTCAAGGCTACTTAATGTTTCGCTTTATTTTCTCTCTCAATGGTGAAGGGAATAAACTCAGCCTCAAAAATATAGGTAGATATATTTCAACGATCGTAGCTAATTCGCTATAATTATTCTTGCTAAATTTACCTACCAGGTTGTGCTAACTTACCTGACTCAATGTTAGTAATTCAATATATAAATGTAACTGATTATGTGATTAATTATTTAAGTTAGTTTCCGGACCTTAAGAGAACGGACCGGACGGTAATAATCAGGTATCTACGTACATTTACCTAGTCAAGTAAATTTTAATATGTCCCAAATTTGTGTTTCAAGACTCATGATTACAAACATTTAAATTCATGAGTATAATTGTTTGTATCGATCTGGGTGTTTTCTATGTAAAGTGAATTAGTTTAAAATTTTGCTTCAGGTATTTAAAAATTTAATTTTTTTTGATAACTATATAAATTATAGTAGGTATTAGCATAATATCGCCCTTGTAGAGGCCGCAATAAGCAATTTGTGCAATGTATTTTATAACATAAACGAATATTTTAGTATAATAAAGTAATATATATAGGTATAGGTATATATTGTTATACCAAATACAAAATTACCCTTGTAATACCCAATGGGTAATACCCAATTTCTAATAACACAAGCTCTGCTTAGCTTGAAACTAGATGACGTTGTATGAATTGTACAGACTTTATTTATATTCTATTCTTTTATTTGGTATAAAAGAAGGTATCTACTACTATACCTCCAAGGTCAGCTAATTGTGGGAGAGGCTGCGGAATGTAAGGATGTTATTAATGAGGAAGTTAGAAATATTGTAGTGGTGCACCAAATATTCATTATTTTGGGTTTTTGTAACAAATATATATGTTTTAGTAGAATGAATGTTTCCAAACTACATTAGGTGTTTTGGGTAAAATACCTGTAGAGGAGAGCACGATATATTATTATAGTTATTATCCTTTATCTCATCTGTATCTATGTATATTTCTCATCTCGTGTATGTATATTTGTCGACACCTATAGATGCGCGAAAGAAAAGATGATCTAAAGCTGTTGTACCTACATAGTGGTACTATACCAGATTCACATAAATTGAAAGAAGTCGGAAATGGTGAGAATTCAAAATGGCATATATACTGGTATACTTCTTGCGAGATTTTTGCTATTTAGGCCTATCGTATTAATTTACCTACTACATATTTAATTTGGAAAAATACTCATAAGCTGTTTTTATAAATTAGTTTGACATGTCTTAGTTTAATTATAAATTCAGAATTTCTAGGAAGATTGTTAGGTATTATTATATAGATAAATATTATTATAATATCTATAGTATATACATATATAGATAAATACCTAAGATTCACTTGCTGCTTATTAATATATCTACTAGCTACTCGCCCGGCTTCGCCCAGGTGTACATGTATTATATATATAAACCGCTTCAAAATCCGTTGCGTAGCTTTAAAGATTTAAGCATACATAGGGTCAGACAGCGACAGCGACATTGTTTTATACTATGTCATAGTGATTAATATATTATTATACCGATATTTTTTTTATTTGTAGCTATAGTATAATGCCGTTGAATGTATTTATAAATTAGAAATTGGTCGAAGAAGTAGTGTCAATTAAAAAAAGGTATTTTTGCATATTTCTTGCGCTTATAAGCTTTTTAGAGATACTAGCAACTTTTTCAGTACTTTCAGTAACAAAGTTCACAGTGCGCACTCTATCTATATTCTTAAAATACATATAATAAGAATTGACTACAGCCAACATGAACAGCATATATATTTCATGCAGATTTATACCTAATATGAGATAAATCTACTAGATGTCACTAGTAACTATAGTATAGGTTTTATATTACAACATTTATATTAAATACTTATTTAGGAGATTAATTATTTAAAATTGTATACTTTTACTTCAATTTCATATTAAACCATATTGCATTGTTCAATTCCAACTTATAATCACTAGATGGCGCTGTTACGTACGTAGCGCTTTTACTAAATGGCGGTTTTAAGATTTTTTCTACACGAACGACCTGACTAGCAATGGCAGTACCATACCATTGATAGTCAATGGTACTTACTAATGTTACGACCTTACTTCACAGGTACATTTCTATGTTAATTCTTCGAAAAGATACTCCGAATATGTAAGGTTACACAAGCCCAGGTAGGTCGCGCTAGGTACAACTTGATGTAATGGGGTATCGCTGGCCAATGGGCTTATGACTGCAGATTTTTTTCCGTCTCAAACCGTGTCTCCTGTCTTTTTTTATGCTGGCGGGGAACGAGGTTTGTTAATAATGTTGATTAATAAACCCATTGCTAGCAATGTACCATAACGCTAACGGTTTACGTTGGTGAGACACTAGTGAAGGATGATAACATGAACAAGAGGTCAAGTCAGTTAGCTCGTAGTGGAAAATTTAACTGAAATTTATGACGCTGGTTTCCAAGGGAAACCGCGTGAACATAAAACTGACATGGTTTGGATGCTATATGATACATTGCTAGCAATGTAATTATTAATCCACATTACTAATAATTCTATTTCCCTTATTCCATATCACACGACAAGAGATAGGAACCTCCTGTCGATCTTATTATATATAATTCCTCTACCATAAGTCCTTTCCGTAAGAAAATAATAATAAACCCACTAAATAGTGTAATAAAACGGAAATGTTTAAACACTTAACTGTTTAAATGTTTAAGTTAAACATATTATGTTGCCACTATGTTGCAAGGAAATACTATGTTTATCACAGAGTATGAAACCCGTAATGAAATAAAGTGATATGTTCAAAATACTTTATTTTCAACAACATTATGTATAAAACATTTTCGACGTTATGTGTATACGTATCTAAATCTA